TCTCTATACTGGGGCATTAGAACTGCACCCACACAGACCACACAGACCGCAGGGTGTGGACCACTCTCCACTTGTTCAATTAACACCACTTCCAGCAGCAACCTTAGCTTTCCCTGGAGGTCTCGATTACATATACTTGCCAGGCTCAAACCTGTTTAGCTTCAGTGGGTTGCTATATGTGAATGGTAAGCTGCTGGATTTAGCTGCTGGAGAAGCTGGAGTATGGATGAAGAGTGCGTGATGGACCCAACCGCTGATACTGGATGGCCGTCACATTCCCAATCGGATGCATCCACCTTGAGCTCAAAGAGTAAAGAGGGCTGTGGATACCTTAGCAGAGGAGCTTTAGTGAAGCATTTCAGCCCAGAAAAGGCCCTCTGTTCCTCCAGATTCCATCTTCCCAGGACCCTTTTTGATGAGGGCTATAATGCTGTGATGGGGGTCACTACCAAACTGAAGTAAAGTCTGCTGTAAAAATTTGCAATTCCCAAGAAACACTAAACTCGCTTTATTGATTCTTGTACCCCCACTGGACATCCATTTGGAAGCTTGAGAGGAAATCTTGTGGACAGATTAGGGCTTCCATGTCTTGTGGTATATCACAGCATCCTAATTAGTCTTTCAGTTGTTCAGACAAAAACACAAAAATAAAGCAATAAGGGCCTCCTTTCCCCATCCACTCTGTAATGTTCAAGGTTCAGAACTGGATGGCATAGCGCCAGGGGAAATCTAAAACAGGTGACAGGTCATAACACTGGAGAGGGTTCACAAAGTCAGGTGGTCCTAATAAGAACAGTATAGCACTAGTATGAATAATGGTGGTGTTCATTTCTTCCAATTTATTTTTTCTACAGTTTAAATAACTTTTATAGCTCTATATTGTCTATTGTTACCAATTCAATCCAGATTTAGAAGTGATGTCAAACACCATGTCAATTCCAGGGTTAAGAAAAACTAAAACCTGTGCACAATGGGTGCAAATTGATCATCTTGTGTCACATGGCAGATAAATAATGATCAGATTAAAACAATCAGAGTAGTCTGAACTACCTCATTGTCTTGCAGCATGGTGCTTCAGGGCTCTGTACAATTCTAAATTCTGGTTTCACTATTTAACATTTATCTAAATGTCTACTGTATATGTTTTGTGTCCTCTTGTGTAGTTTTGACAATGGATTATGTCTGTATTTCCCAACTGATGATGAGTTGTATGTTATTGATGCTAATAAACTATCAACTTCTCTCTTTTTATTTTAAAGGGGCGTTGGACTTAAAAGGGCGTTTCCTGCATTGATTTTTAATCTCAAAACAGTTTTGATGTTGTGAGAAGTGACGTTTTTATATACAGTACTGGTTAATTTAAACAATTGGATTTCTCTCTTTTTTGGTTGTTGTAAGGTGGTAGGTTTTGAAAGTCCATGCCCCTTTGATAAAGAGTGGGTGTGAATCAGAATGTCCTATTGCCTTACTGCATGCAGATAAAGCATAACTGCAGGTCTTAGCTTTCTGATAACAGCATGACCAGCATGCAAGATGAGCTTTTAGAAAATGTTAAAGAATAAAACTGCACTGTCTCACAATGGTAGAAGGTAGAGTGTCCATTCCTGGTCCTGGTCAACAAGCTTTCATTCCATCTCAGCTCTCAATGACCCAGATCAGTTTATCACTGGCTTAACTTGACCAAGTTAATACTCTTTTCCACGTACTCACTTTCTGGTGCTTGAAAGAGACTTCGAAATCCTGCAAACACACTGGACCACCTGAACCAGGATTGGATACTACAGTTTTAAGGCCTGAAGAATATTGCACTTAGCAGCAAGTTCTTTTCTTTAAGGGTTTACCATGCTAAATTCACAGTTGTGCCACTCCTGTATGGAACAAAACAAACTCACTTGATTTGGAATGAAATCCCAAATTATAGCTATGGTACAGAAATCTTTACTTGTTTAATTTGCACAGACATGCTGAAAAGCCCATTGTCAATTTGTTTGAATTGGCTGTATGCTTCAGATGTTGCCATTGGCATCATTAGAGGTAAAATGATAAAGGTCACATTTCCTCTAGGATTCTTAAAAACAATATTTATGTATAACAGCGGCACAATAAGTCAGCAGTTAGTGTGAAACAGGTGACAAACAGAATGAAAGCAGTACTTGAATTGCTTTTAGACAGTTCACATTAGTTCATATCAGTATTGAAAAATATTATTAGCTGTTTCAGTGGTTCTACTCTTAAGAATTGCAAGATTTATAGAGAATATTGCTATAGAGAAACAGGTTTCAGCCCCAGCCACATCCTTGGTCTTGCTTTAATTGCAATATTCTCAGGTGTCTGTATGTTATTTTTCCCTCTGGGCCTCTTTTCACTGTATTTTTTATGTGTAACCAGTGCCAAGAAAAGTTGTCACAGATAACAGAGATTCAGCAGCACCTTGTAAAGAGTCACCTTTCAGAAATCAACACAATTCATGACACAGAAGCACAGAAGAATCTGAAAATCAATAATAACATGCTTTGCAATGCTTTCACTAGCACAAAAGTACCTGGAAATCTCTTTTTATTCCCAATGATCTTTACTAATTATTTACTACTCACCCTCAAGAGCCTAGAACTAAGTCCTAGAGTGACTATAGCTAACACATGAGCCAGGTAAGTGATGGTTAATTGTGTTTCTGATAAGGTGTAACTGTTACTCAAGATTTTTGCTATTATTATTCTTTCTGTTCTTATAATATCGCTGCAACTCTTACCAGGGTAAGCAGACTGAAAATGGACAGATAAGTATCTGAATTTGATTCATTATATAAAATGGCTGAATATTAAATATTTTTAATTAGTCCAATCATGATGTTATAGTTTTCTTTTATGGTCATTTTGTTAAAGATTAAAAATTGATACTTTAAATTATAATTATACTTTAAAGGGCATTCATCACAGTCATCTTCATGTCACCTGTCAATTTGGTTCCCAGAATGGTGCCAAAAACGTCATATTTCTGCCTATTAATGTAAATGAACCACCTTACTTATCTCTTCCTTCCTGTGCATGTCTGTCGATTCTAATCATTCAATGCCAGTTATTCAACAGCATCTCAGATCTGTTGTTTTTTCTGTCTTAATACACAACTAAATTGCCTAAAATAATATCTCCAATCTAGTCAAATTAGGTGATACATCTGCTGCCTGTTTAAATGGTTTGAAACCAGTTGTATGCAGGTCATCTCATTTCATTGTATTTCACAAACTGTCAAGAGTTTTTATATAAGTAAGACAATAATTAACAACTGAACGTTTTAGTGTTTAAAATAAGTAAAAATGTTGTGCATTACATACTTGGCTTTACTGGTGCTGCTGAAGCAAGGAAGCCCATAGGGAAAAAGGGATATACTGTAGGATTGTATGACATCATGATGGATGCAGGAATGTGAAATGCTATTGAGAGACATTATAAAGTTATTAGTGTTGGGGCTGTATCCTTAAACCCACTGGAAACCTGTGCAGACCATCACATTACATTTGGAATTCTCATTAAGTCCATTTAGTAGTTTTAACTACTTAAACAAATTTAAGTAGATTTTGATATACTTTCAATAGCGCATAATATCTCTATACCCCCCAAAATTATGTTAAACGTCTGAAATGTTGCACAGAGTTACAAGGTTAATGTGCTCCAAAAATCAGATATTACAAATGGCCAGATAATTCTCTGTCATTAATAATACTGGTATCTCTTTATTACACAGTGTCATCATACCCATACTTGTAATTAACTGTAATAGTATAATTACTGAGTAAATTACTAAATTAATCTTTTAATTGGTAAATACCTGTAACTTCCAAATTCATTTGTTCATTTCCCGGGTATATCAATTAAGAACAAATTCTTATTTGCATTGCAACCTAGACCTCCATTTATACAGCAGAGCATTTACTGGAGCATGGGTGAGGTACCATCCTCAATGAACCTTTTCTTTTAAAACGTATCTTGTCTCTGCATGTACATACAGTACATTCTTCCTGCAATGCAAAGCATTGTAAATATTCAGGCAGTAGCTGCCTTATGTAAATTCTGCACATGCAGGCCCTATTAAAAGTCATTCACTACTCTCTGAGTTCTTTTGCATTTGGCAAGACAGTGAAAGAAAGTTGTAGGTCTGAAGGGGTTTCTTCACCAGGAACCAGTATCGAATGAGCACACAGATTGGCTGAGCACAGCCTGTGTTGTTATAATCCAGCAGCCCCCACACATAATGACAGCTTGTCTGTATTTCACTTTCTGCATAGAAGAAATAAAAGTGTGTCTACTGCTAGTAATGCTAACAAGCTCAGTTCTGCCCTAGTAAAGAAGATGGAGATACAGTAATAATAACAGCAATTCTTAAAACTAAAGGTAAAAAAGAAGCACTTGTTCTCTCTGGTGTTTAAAATTAGGCCAATATCCTGCTCTTATTTTCACCCTTTCTTTGACAAACAGAATTAGATTTTTTTTTCTGCTAAGGTGAAACATTTTTAAATTGTATTCAATTCCAAAACTGTGTTTTTAATATCAATTGAAAATGACAAGAGTCATTCAGTTGTGTCAAGTTAAATTCTTCAACACCAAACCACAAGACCACCCTTTCTGTCACAATGTAATAACCCAATCTGTCTAAGTAACAGTTATCTGACCATTAACATCTATTTTATTTCACATTTGTCGCTTGAAATTCTACAAGTTTGGTTTTAGCACATATCCATTTGAAAACCAAGAGTCAAATAAATTTGGTGCTTTACAGCTCTATCATTAAATAGTTTCCTTTGAATCCTAATTCCAAATCCCATTTCTATCAAATACATTTATTAATTGGCCTAATCACTTTTTCACATCAGTGGGGACTGGTGCTCAGATTTCTGTTTTTTTGTTTGCTCTAATAATAGCGTTTGATAATACAGCCCTGTCTGTAAGGTGTCTGCTGAGTGTCTTGTGTCTCATCCTGTCCTTCACCTACTCCTTCCTTTATAGAAGCGCAGTGTAAGCCCTACTATTCTGATTACTCCCCTACACGCCTGCTTATCCACAAGATGTGTACCAGTCACTACCTGGATCTCTTCATAACCATTGTGATAGGCCTCAACGTCATCACCATGGCGATGGAACACTATCAGCAATCCAAGGTATGGGCATCGTAGTTGACTTGTAATTACACTCAATGGGGCCCAATTAATATAACACAAGGATAGTCGTGTAATATTAATTCTTAAAATCATGATTTAATGACTGGACTAGGCAATAAATTATTCATTAATGCCCTTTGTGACAGTGAAACTCCTTTTACCCTACAACAGTGTACAATATAAAATTATGTAGTATCTTTGTATTCTATTTTCACTCTCTAAGTCATAATGTACGGGGTGCCTGTATATCTTGCTTCAAAGTTAATTTTCCTGACCTTATGTCAGCATGATATTGGGAACCCCGCATATCAATTCTATCAATTTGAGGACATGACAAAAAAAAATACTACAGTACATCATGCATAAAGCTTTGTTTTATGTGGCTGTTGGTGAAAGTGAGTGATAATGACTTCTTTCATATTTTATCTTTGCATCTATTCCAAGCTTAGTGTAAAAGATAGTGCGGGTGCTGAACATGAAATAATAAAAAGAACCAGAGCATAAACAATCAAATACATCTCACCACTTCTCAGAGTAAGATGGTATAAGCAAGTGTTTGATTATGTGTTTAAATGTTGCTTGAATTACTCAAAAATCACGTTTTGTTTAAATGATAGGTAAGTCAAGAAAAGAGTGTGAAAGATTAGAGTAAACAAAATATTTATAATTATGGTATTTGTACATCAGGGTACTGTGCTGTATTTGAAAAGTTACGAGTGAAAGGCACACAAGTTGTTGAATCATAAATCACAACTTTCTGATCCCTTACCCTGAGTTACAGTATATAAGGGACCTCCTGTCAGTCTCAATTAGAGTGTTTCATATTTGAGTGTAAGATGAAGTATGTGCAGATTTATTCAAAATTGTAAACAAAATAAGCAATGAAATGTAAGAAAAAATTCCTATAAATCAGGAAAAAAAGGAAATTTCAGATGACTTGCCCCAAGAGGCTGTTAATAAATTTTAACAGACACTTGAGGTGAATTTCGTAATTAGAATAGGAGAATTGGTGAAGGGGTTAAGTGTCATGTTCTCAGAAGGTGGGTAATTAATTCTGTTTCATATATAAAGGGATTCACAGTGGTAGTTGTTGGTTGGGTTTTAGAACAGAAAGTCTTTGTTTGGATCCATGACAGGCTTATGTCAATAAAGATTCTGTTGCAGCACGTCTTTGAGCCATCAGGTGGTTTAATGTGCTCAGGTCCTGGAACCCAGATTGTTTATGGTGGTGCCTGTCACATGTAGGGACTCGTCTTGATAGCACAGTTGTGATCGACTGAGAAGCAAAGCTCACACTAAATCCTGAGGAAACTTTGGGGAAGACAACAGGATCAAAGGGGCAATGACACCAGGGCAATGAACCAGATTTGCTGCCAATCAATGAAGTGCAACATCCCAATATGCAAAGTTGGCTTTGACTTATCCACAGCTGTAATTGCTGTCGTTTTTTGCTGATATTTGGCTTATTTCACACATTAACTGTTCAGTATAAGCATTCAAATTTAATTAGATTTTTTTATTGTTTGATAACCTACCCACATAAAGAGAAGGCAGTATTCATCTACAATGCAAAAAATGCAAAAAAATAAATAAAATAAGGCTCACTTGTTCAGGTTGAAAGCAATAAAGCGTGGAGTCAGCTGGACAGACACTCTATTCTGCAACTGTCAGTAATTTCCCATCTTTAATGTCCATGACTCTTTGAAAAACAAATGATTCGTCCCTAACGAAGACTTGTTTGCCTTGTTTGAAACATTACAAATGTTAGATAATATCTACTCAAGAGTTTATAGTGTGCATCTAGCTGACTTCCAGGAAGAAAATCTAATCAGATGACAAACAAATCCCAGATACCTATCCTTATCCCCTTCTGCCACATCCCAGGATGGCAACATACCCCCTAGTTGAAATGTGCACCATCAAAGGCTGGCCAACATAAAAGACCAGTCTGACAGGCTATCAACTTGAGTGCCATTTCAGGGGACAGCTGTCAGTCCTTTAGCTCCTGATACCTGACAGTTGTGATCCTCTATATAAAAGTGTGCTCCCTGTTAGCAGCTAGCAACTAGGGTAATGGGCAACAGGGCAAGAAAGAAACACCAAGGAATTCTCCAAGTACTGAAGAACTGATGACTAAGCCGAAGGTCTGAAACTGTGAGGGCAGATGACCAGACCGTGAGAGACTGAGCCGAAAGCCCCACCCACTGAGAGTGAGACGAGCTCAACTAGCTGGGAAAGGACAACTAGCAGCTGAAGAAGCCTCTTGTTGTTTCTGTTTCATGCACTGGGCGAATGCTACCAGACTTATTTTTCTTTTGAAAGAATAAAGGATCCTGCTGTGCTGAGACAAAGCAAACCCCATGATGCTGACTTTTTCTTGACCAGCCTGTAACAATCAGTAGAAAACTGATATTTATTCACTACAAAACTCTGGGATTTTAAATCCAAATAATATTATATTAATTAAGACAGAATTCTAATCAGGGAGGCATCAGATGGTCACACTAAAGTCAAGCTGACCTCCTTCCTTAGTTTAGAGTTCTGAGGAAATGAATTATTATTTTGTCTCATTTTTTTGGAGAGCAAGCTGAGTACCTCAGGCAGTTTATGGAGTTGTGGAACTCCCCTCTGTCACCCATGGTTTCCCCCTGTTCAGGAAACATGCACATAAGATCAACTGACATGAATAAACTCAGATTCCCAAGGAAGGTGATTTTTATGTATGATGGTTACCCTTCATCCATTGCTAAACCATTGTGATTCAGTACGCAATTACTTTGCATTTAAATAGAAAATCAGCTGTTAGAGTCTCCTAGTGAACATAAACATGACAGTGAGCTTTAAAACTGTATGGAGATTGATATGGTGCTGGAGTGGAGCTGAGATTTTCAGTGCTCTGCTATGTGCTGATATATGATGTAAATAATATACTAGATCAGATTTAATATATACTGATATTTTATTTTTTTACACCAAAAAATTAAATCTCTTGATATAGTATGTAATTTCTGTGTGATAAAATACCTAAAAGATCTCTGGTCTATAATCAACCAATGACTATTCTTTCTCACCAGGTGCTAGATGAAGCTCTGAAAATCTGTAACTATATCTTCACTATAATCTTCGTCCTGGAGTCTGTTTTTAAGCTGGTAGCCTTTGGCTTCCGGCGTTTTTTTAAGGACAGGTAAGCATTGTCCATACATGCATTTTCTAACCACTTCTTACAGTTCAGGGCTGTGGGAGAACCGGAACCTCGAACTAGCAACAGGCACAAGGCGAGGAGACACCAGTCCATTGCAGGGGAGACACAAAACCAGACACACACACACACTCATATCTAAGACCAATTTTCCCAAAAGCCAAACAATGTACCAAGCTTATTTTTGGACCGTGGGAGAAAACCCATGAAAACACAGAGAGAAGATACAAACAAGCAGATACAGTAGCACCATGGGTCTGGAACTCACACAGCTGAAGAAGGCTCCACAGCCGAAACATTGTGTTTCTTTTCTTCTCTTTTCAGCCTGGAATAAACCTTTACTTGTTCCTTTGCACACTATGTACAGTACATACAGTACAGATATATACACTATATGTTTTGGGTGTATTGTCATATTAAAATAAACAGATGAAATACTCGTATAAGCATGCTAGACCACACATTTGCTATATGTGGACTGTAATGAAGAGAGGGACTGGCTTGTCTCCACAGATGGAACCAGCTAGACCTGGCCATTGTCCTACTGTCCATCATGGGGATCACCCTGGAGGAGATTGAGGTCAACGCCTCTCTACCCATCAACCCCACGATCATCCGCATCATGAGGGTCCTGCGAATTGCTAGAGGTGGGTACCTATTTTTCTCAACAGGGACGGTCTCTGTGCTGTCAGCAGGAGACTGTAAGGAACAAAACATGCAAGGTGGTTTTCTTTGAGGAAACAGCTTTAGAAAGCATCCTGACAGATTTTGAATATTGCTGAATCAGTACATTGGGACTTTTATCACCTTTGGATAAAGCAGTTTTTTTTCATTCAGGTAATGATATACAAATAGTTTTAAAAAATAAAACTGCAAGGGGTTAATTGATGTAACATGGATGCATTACCTTATTTCTAATTACAAAACAAATGTTTGAATTTGTATTTCGATTTCATGGTGTTCTTCAAACAGCCCTATATTTTAGAATTTACTAGAGTTGAAATATAAGCAAGTTTTTAATTACATTCATACCTTTTATCAACATCTATTTGTTGGAGTTAACATATATTATAGAAATGTTGTTCTATAACATATAAGATCAAAGGGAGACTGGAGGCTTTCTGACAGTAAAAAATGGAACAGCTTGTCTGAATAGGATGTGATGTTGTGTCAGGAATGGCACAGTCCCTTAAAATTGTGTTCCATCATGTTCTGCAAAAAATAAAAATAGCTCAGGCAGCATAGCATTTGTTCTGCAGCTGCTGGGAATTGAATTCTTGAATTCTTCCTTGTGGACATTTGTGTGGTATAGGTTGGTGTAAAGTTCCATAACCAGCATTAATCCGTGGCGTATCTTGACCTAGCTCTGTTAAGTTTTTTCCTCTGCTCTATGTTGAACATTGGTGATGTGCCTGTCTTCCTTGCAGTGTTGAAGCTACTCAAGATGGCAGTGGGAATGCGGGCACTGCTGGACACCGTGATACAGGCCCTGCCTCAAGTAAGCTATCAGTCCTTGAGAACAGGGAACAAGAACAAACTATCTGGCAGATGGTAGTTCATGACAAAATATTTATATGCATAAAAAGACATATTCGAAGTATACATTTGCTTTCAGTTTACTGAATAATAATGTTTCATTTATTAGTGTTATACCTGTAACATTATACAAGTGTTAAAACACTGTTAAAAAGCAAATTGACTCGATCTTCAAGTAAATGCAATGAGGAAAAGTAAAGCTGAATATTTATAATTATAGCTATAGAAAATCCAGAATGTACTTTGGACTTCTGAGGGGCTGTTTCACAAGACAGGTTTAATTAATTCAGGTTATTGAATTGACCTGATAACTGACTTCAGGTTTACCCCGGTTTCACAAATCAAATTCTGATTTAACTTATCTGGTTGAAGCGATTCAGGCTTAATAATCTGACTAACTGTGTGTTCACACCGTACTTCAGTAGGCAGGAGGGTTGAGCATTGATGCCTTTATAAACGTCTTAACCCAGTGACCATGAATTATGGCTCTTTATAGCAAGGCCAGTGGTTTGCGACAACATGGCAACCATACGATAAAGTTCAGAAAAACTTTCACAAAAGCATGATTTTGTGCTTAATTTGGAATTCGTCAAATTTGAGAAATTTGTGACCGTGATTAAATAACCGATCTGAGAAATTGAGATTGCAGTTCCCATTTAAGAGATTGTGAATGTAAAGTATACCCTGTCTGCTGAAGAGGTATCTTTCACATAAACATTATACTGTAAGTGAATTGTATTTTAGTGATTTAGTTTGTGTTCGCTCTGCAAAGCTCTAATGTTATAGGGATTCCTGAAGAAATGTGATAGAATTTTTTGCAGGGGACTGATTGGTCTGTATGTTGAGCTCTTAACCACAAAGACAAGCAAAGCTTAAACAATAACCTGCTCACAGCAAAGTTAGGAATAGAACATACAGTATGTTGCTATAGTTACTTAGATTAATTCAGTCTTGCTTTGTGAAACATACTTTACTGTCACATCTTGCTTTTGTCAACATACTGTATTTGCTAAAATTATCTGGCTGAGTAATATAGCTGTGTGAAAGAGCCCCCAAGAGTCCCTGTTGTGGGCAGGATGTTTTTTCTAATTCAGTCTCTCTCTGTTTAGGTGGGGAACCTGGGTCTTCTCTTCATGCTGCTGTTTTTCATCTTTGCTGCTCTGGGAGTCGAGTTGTTTGGAGACCTGGGTGAGAGTTATAGTAACATTACAGTGCACACAAAGGAAGAAACAAATCAACAAAGCCACCACAACAGAAAATAGTTCCACAATCTAGTGACACCCTATTTGGTTTTATCCAATACTTAGATTTTCAATTAAAAGCAGGTTCGAAAGGGAGCCTGTGCACTGATATATGAGCTTGCGGTATGAGCTGAAATGATGACATGTGCATAAATACTGTATGTAGTAGGTTAATATCATGTGGAGGATATCCCAGTTATTAAGACTGAGCACCTCATGCTGTTGTGGTAGAAACTCAAAGCCAAGCAGAGGAGCTCTGACTGTGCTAATTGTATAAAGCGTTACATGATTAATTGATGATGCTTTACAGTGAACAGGGGGTGGGAATTACTGCCAAATGCTTTGTGCTATATGTGCTGGATGAAGAAAACTCCAGAAAAAAATCAATATAAAGTGATATTGCATTTTACATTAATTGAGACAATATAATAGGGAATACAGAAGATACAATTGATGTGGTTGAAATGGTTAATGATTGTTTAGCCTGGTTTATAGAGGCACCTACAAATGAAGATGTTTTCTTCCCAAACAACCAGGATTTATTTAGGGAGATTCCACACACCATGTACATTTCCACACAGCATGCTGCCCACACCTCTTCGGTGCCCATGACTGTCCATCCCCTCAGCCATCCAGGCCGGGCCACCACTCTGGCATGAAGTGTGCAGTCTAGCCCTCCCACATCGCTGGCAACTGCAGCCAACAGGCTCTGCTGTCTAAAGTCTGCAGTTACCTGCCTCTCTCTCAGAGCCCCCCTGTCTAGCATGGGTTCCCGTCCAGCTGCCTTTCTTCTGCCTCACAGGCTACAGCACCGCTGCTACCATCCCCACACTCAACCAAGCTCTCTTCAATCGACCTCACTCACACAGCAGATACTGTACAGTACTACGCTGTTTTTTTTCCTTGGACCTCATCAGCCCTTTGGCTGTCATCTCTGAACTAACCAGCCACACTGCATCTCTGACAGACACACAAGCACAAAGCCCAGCCAGCCTATACTCATTCGGGTGGGTGGGAGAGTATTCTCCACCGACATTTCTTTAGTGAAGTGAAGTGATTTTTCTTGTCTCTGCTCAGTCTGGGTGAGAGACACATAGTCTCTACAGAGAAGTCAGACAGGCCATGTCTGACATGTCTGTCTAAGCACCGGTTAGACCCACAGCTGATTAAGCCACCAACCCCCCAACAGCTGTGACTTCATAAAAGGAGAGTAATTTAGCAAATGTATATTCATATGAACTTTCACACAACCATCATCACATCACTGTCAATCACCACTTATCCAATTCAAGGTCACAGTGTCAAGAAGCCTATCCCAGGAAGCACTGGGTGCGCGACAGAAAACATCCTGGACAGAATCACAGGATCCAGGCCATCACAGCTTTCATTCAACCTTTATATAAAAATCACAGATGGCAAAGAATGAGAAATAATTTGGAATATATATTGTTCCCTCTCATTCACTGCAATATGTTACCACATTATCTTTTCTCTTTGTATACACAGTAGATGTTTCTTCGTCTCGAATCCCAATTCTTCTCCTGTATCTCCTCCTTAAACCCTCAGAGTGCAACGAAGACCACCCCTGTGAGGGGTTGGGAAGACATGCCACCTTCAGGAATTTTGGGATGGCTTTCCTCACTCTCTTCCGTGTGTCCACAGGAGACAACTGGAATGGCATCATGAAAGTCAGTATATCTGGGGCACACCCTAACAATAGTCTTCAGCCATTTTCCGTAGCAAACATCCCCAGGAATAATGTGCCACTAAATATTCAGTGCGTCTATCAAATTACTGGTGTTAGCCCTACATTTCTATCTCTCTGGGCAAAGTCCCAAGAGACTCCCGATGTGTGGTCTCCACTTATTTGTAATAGTGTGTAGATAAGAGCTAAATAATAAACAAGTTATCTCATTATAGTGAACTTGTTATAACAGTTTTTGTGCTAAGTACTGTATCTGAAACACATGCAACACTGTGCAGCAGCTCTTGGTTGTAATATGAATGGGTTCAACTTAATGTGTAGAAAGTACAGTATCTGACAGCAATAAAACTACAACTAAAGAGAACCTCAAACTAGCCAAACTCTTTCTAATGCCCTTACAGTTTATATTTACAGTGCTTTATTGTACTGAAGAGTGATAATGACAGTTGCTGAAGCAATCTAAAGTATGAGATTAAGGTAGTAGGTAGTACATAAACAGATTGTAGACTAATTGATTAATATTGAAAAGCAGCCAGATTCAGATGTTTTATTTTTGCCTTCACATATAAAGCAAAAAATATTTCTTAAAATCCTTATCAGGGCACATTAACATTAATAACGGTATTGTGACTGTGCAGGACACTCTGCGGGACTGCAGCCAGGACAGCGGCACCTGCTACAACACCGTGGTGTCGCCCATCTACTTTGTGTCCTTCGTGCTGACGGCGCAATTTGTCCTGGTAAACGTGGTGATCGCCGTCCTCATGAAGCACCTGGAGGAGAGCAACAAGGAGGCCAAGGAGGAGGCGGAGATGGAGGCGGAGCTGGAACTTGAGATGCAGAACATCGGTGGCCCCGCCCTCCTGGGGGAGGGCCTTCCTTGGGTGGCTGGGGAAATCAGAGACAGACCTGACAGCCCAGGAGGAGGGGCCTGTGATCCAGGTCAGGTCAAAGTGGACTCGCCTCTCTCCCTTGAACCCCCCATGGTAAGTCTGAGCTCAGTCCCTTTCCTCCTCAGTAGAGGAAAAAACCTACAGCTGTCACTCTCAAGGGCTTCTCTTTACATATATATGTATATTGTTCCTTATAGTTTATATATCACTGTCAGAACTGAGTGAAGTAATCTCTCACTTTTAAGGAAAAAGCCTAAAGCCTCCAGTGATGATACACTTAATAGGTACAGTAAGTGTAAGTCTGGAGTAAGGATACCAGTGAAATAAACTGCTGATACATATGTTAAACAAATGTTAAAAACTGCATTCAGCGGACTTCTGTCTTATCCATCTCATAAATAATTTATTAAGCCTTCTTCTATTAATCATAGTGTTCTATATAGGAACATAAACAGGTTGGACAGGGGACCAAGGCTTACATAAATTTCTGAGAAAAATAATCAGAATGATTCACTACCTTTATAATATTTCCTCTTAATGTGTTAAATGGCATCATTAGGATATCACGTTTTATTGTGACATTTTCCATTATAGAAGGTCATGCTCTCTATGCTAACCAAAGCCTTGAGATTTGTGCAGTAGTATACAAAAAGGCTCCAGAATATAGTTTGGATATCGGTTTCTGAAATTGTCACTGATAGAGAGACCTTTAATTTTCACTCCAAGGTATTATTTTATTAGGTATTTCATCACTATGGAGAGCACAGTAGCACAGTGGTTAGAATTGCTGCCTCACAGCACTGGAGACCTAGGCTGAATCCAGTACCAGGGCTGCTCTCTGCTTGGAGTTTGTATTTCTTCTCATGTTTGTGTGGGTTTCCATTGGGTGCTCCAGTTGACTCCCACAGTATAAAGTTATAGTGGTAGGTTAACTGGCTTCTTTGAAAATCGGCCCCAGATGTGGATGTGTGAATGTGTTGGTGTGTCAGCCCTGCGAAGGACTGGCATCCTGTCCGGGCTGTACCCTGCCTTGCGCCCATTGCCTGTTGGGATAGGCTCTGGCACCCCTGCGATCCAGCATTGAAAGATGTGTTTAGAAAGTCTATGGATAGATTAAAACACATATTTTTTCACCCGTGTTTTTTTAACCTGTGTTAAATTTGGCTTGGGATTCAGATTCTTCATTTTACACAGGCCATACCCTTTTCATGTCACAGCAGAAAATAATTTTTTCACAATTTCTTTCTCTTAGTTGGTGGCTTTTGTGATCTTTTGTTGTTTTAGTATTTTCTTTTACTTCATTCATATCTAGATTTCTTTAATGATGTTTTCTACTGGTGATATCCAGTTCTATGATATGCATATATTTATTTTTTAAAAATGTTGTACATAGCTGTGGCACACAAACACTTTGGGTGCTTTTCAAATTTATCATTCATTCATTACATATTGGTTATTTTAAAAATTAGTATGCTATGTTACTCATTAAATAGTAATAGCTGCATTGCATATTAATAGTAAACAGTAGTGACTACTCCCCATAGCAAGATAATTTGCTAAAGAAACACTCAGTAACATGATTGTGAAATTGGACCTCTATAAATTTTGATTTGTAAAGAACAGAAGAACCGTTACAGACAAGAGAGGGTCCTTCTGGCTATCCAGCTCATTTACTTTCTCAGTAGCGAATGCTTCAGTTATCACATCCAGCCATTTCCTGAAAGAAACCAGGGTATCAGCTTCAAAAACATAATTAAGTATTTTTTTCCAAACTCCCACAATCTGTGTAAGAATGTTTATGTTCATGTTTTCAGTTTTAAATGCATTTTCACATAATACAGTGTACAAGGTCTACATATGTAGTGTGCATGCAATGGTTTATCATATACGCTCGATACAGTCCTTGGATTTATTTTCTCGATATATTCTTATATTTATTGAATGTGTCTCTAGCTTTAAACCTATTTCCAGCTCCCCCTCTAACTATAATGATAGTTCTAAACCTAAATTATACTAACATGTATAAACATGAACTTTTACAAATGAATGAATTCTTTGTTTTAGGTTATGGGAGCTTTTTGTCTTAAAAGGTTGTGAATGTTATTATAACTTGTTACTGTATATAGCCTCTGAAAAGGTTGTGTTGTGGCTCTCCCTACTGGAACATAATGGTACCACAGGAAATGTATAAAGCTTTTGGAATCCTTGCTTAGTTAAATCTGCAGAACTAGTTACCTCATTAATTGCCTTTACGTAGTTTTAAGGTCTATTGTCTATTGTCCAAGAAGATATATGTTGTTTTTTTTCAATAGCTGTAAACGTGACTTAGTGTCAGTGCTGTTTTGCTGAACAGATTAGATTTATTGAAGAGCTATGAAAGGAAAGTTACAGATATACTGTATCTGCTCTGACTTGTCTGAGGATTCCCTGTTGTTACTAGTATGTTTTCCTCTCTTCTGTCTCTCTCTTCACTTCTTCTGATTTTATTGTCATTCCTCTCCTGGCCTGTGATCCACTCTCCCAACCCCACTCCTTTTTGCTCTCTCATTCCCTGCTTCACCTCTTCCACCTCTGTCCTTCTGCATGCTGGCCTGTGCTGCCACAGCGGTGGGCTTTGTTTGACACAGTCTCCCTGCTGATCCAGGGGTCCCTGGAAGGAGAGCTCAGCCTCATGGACAACCTCTCAGGATCCATCTACCACCACTATGCCCTACCACCGCTGCCCAGCAAGTGTACCGGCGAGAAACAGGTCATAAGCAATAGACCTTGTCTGCTTTCTCTTCTGCCACTTGTCCGCCTGTGTGTCCTTCTGTCCGCCTGAGTCCAACTACCAGAACATTAGAACTGCAAAGATGAGATACAACCGATAACAGAAGCTATTGTAAACCCAACCAGGGGCATGAAGTGGGGTACCTTGATAAGTGTAGCATCACAGTTCAGAAAATAAAAGTCCGAATAAACTGAAGAAAGCCTGGAGAAGGTTAGGTTTAACAGGGAAAAGTGTACTTCAGTTTTACAATATCCAGGACAGGGTTGCTCTTTTGTTTCTTGAGGGCATTCAGTGCGTAACAAGTGTGTGATACCTTTTGAATTTTAGGGGAAAAAAATAATTGAAAATTTAAAGCCTGCATACTAGAACGTGTTAGCAGTCAAGAGCACCAGTGGTGATTTATAACTGTCAGTTTGTAAATGAAGCCTATAGTCAATTATTGTTCAACAAGTACTGGCTGCAGCAGGACTAGCTGTAAGATAAGTCAGATTTACCTTTAAATTCCTTTCCATATTAATGAAGGTAAAAAGCAGCATTTACCTCTCTCACTTTTGCTCTTATTAAAATTGGGGGGGTTAAATATGAACTTTTTTGGTGGAGACACCAAATCGATATTTATTATAGTGAGCTCCATTGTAGTACGATTATAAGTTTTGTATTCTGTCAAAGGTCACACATTTTTGTGCTTCATCACAGTGCCACTGTGATCTGGCCTCCTCACTATTGAGCTTTAGTTTTGCTACATTATTCAGATTCTGGATCAAATGACACATTGCATATCAGATGGATTTGTCCTGGAATGTGGATGACATGACAATTCATTTCAAATAGTATGATTTTTGTATTACATTAGTTCATGTAAAATAACTATGATGTATGGGATTTTCTTTTACTCTTTCCAAACATCTGTATGCCTTTAATTTTGGGGCAATCCATATTTACCTCTCCTATTTAAGCACTGGAAAGCATAACTGTGGAAGGCAAGACACATGAACTTTCTGCACCGGGGTTAAGAGAGTTTGTGATTAAGAGGCTAAAGGTCTGTATCCCAGAAATACTGGCAAAATCTGAAACTTATGTCCATTCCTGACCAGTGATGACTGTACTTGAATCCATTCTCACAACAGTGGGGCAGTGTTCCCTGTCCCAGACCTGACTTTGTTCCACCAAACAGAGCTCCAGAGAGATCACTGGCCCACCACAGCCTGCAGAGTTCTATATTGCATGGAATTACATTATAAGACACAAAGGAAAGAACAAAACATAAAAAATAACAAATAACAGATAGGCACAGTGGTTTGCAAGGTAGAAATACTGCTTTGTGTTCGTAGATGGCAGTAGGTCAGTTGTTAAGTTTCTCTGTGCCCATCTAACCCCCCCCTCAAGTTTAATTCAACCCTTATTTCTAACTCACTGTAGCCCCATCCCCAATCGTAGCCATCATCCTGTGCTTTGTCTTTTTTCTATGACCCCTGACATTTAAATATAATTTAAGCAACACGTACAAAAAAAAAGGTTTTAATAAAAATATTTTAATTAGATTGATGATGGCCAAAATGCACCAATTACATAAAGTTGAATTTTAAAGGAAAATATACAAAATAGGCATTTTAATAATAATTATAAGGAACCTGATGCACAATTGTTTTTGAAAAAATTACAGAACACTTGCATTGAAAAGTTGCAAAAAGGAGTTTGTTCGGCTTATGAGGCTTATTTAGTTGCTTGCTATTTTATTTATTCAAAGATTATGTCCAACCATAGGAAGACAGGAAGACATAGTATCAGCTGCAGCAATGTGAATAGAAAGTTTGCTCCAAACTCCTGTTGAAGTATTTTTATTATAGATCCATAATAAGAATAACATTCATTGTAAACCTTTAAAAACACCTGTCTTGCCTTTGAAACAGGGACCTTAAACCATTCATTTTTAAATTAAACTGCAATCAAAGCTTTTGACATCAGTTGAACACGCTGTTCCTAGCATGTGCAATTTTTAGGCTTATCAAGCAGAAAATAATACTTCAGCAGCGCCTTGACATCCATCAACTTTCATGATTTTCAAACAAATTATGAAGGAAGGACATTTTACTGTGTTCTCAGCTTCCTTGAAAAGACAAACTGTGCAAAGACAAGTAATGAAAAAACAAGCTATGAAAAAGATGATAATGGCAAGGAGAAAAGTAGAGGTAACTGTAGGAAAATTATTTTAGCATTTGATATATTGGCTCATGATCCCATAGAACCCAAGCCTTCGGCTTTTATTATAATTTACAACAATCTGCTTATTTAAAAATTGAGGGCATTTTTTAAAGCATCTAGATCTTTTCTTTCAACTGCCTTTCCAGTATATCATAAATAGTCATTTTCCAGAAATATACTGTAATGGTCATTTATTGTGTCACATGGTTTCTCAGTTATATTTTCTAGTTAACTCAAATTATGTATATTTTTTAATGTAAAAATTGTAAATGTAAAATTTTTTATTTACTCCGTGTATTGCAGCTTTACAACCATGTGTAGACAGTTTTTGGTGAATGGGAAAGAAATTTACTCTAATCTAATAAGCCTTAGTCTGATGAATCAATTTCTTTATCTTTACTGTTGTGAATACACATGTTCTTTGTGAATATGGTGAGTAATCTATCCTACAATTAAAATATGGTACTGTAGATGTTCTTCGTACTGGATTTCTGATTGCCAGATCAGCCTTCTGGGGTATATCACTTTAAGCTGTATTTGAGTGATCCTGCCAGGGCTGCTGTGAATATGTCCCTGTGTCCTCTGCACTTTCCTGAAAGCTGATTTTCACTTGGCTTGTATCTTCCTGTTTAGATCCCTCTAGCTGAGATGGAGGCTCTGTCTCTGACATCGGAGAAATCCTGGTCCTTAGCTCTGACGGACGACTCTATGCCTGATGATATTAACACTCTCTTACTAACCAGCCGGGATGGCAATGTACTTACAGTAGAACCAGCTCTTCTTTGCAGTCACTTACCCCTAAGCTTTCAAACACACCTGTCCTGCTTCTCCTTTTAAATGACTCAAAGTTCAGAGAGATTGTGGAGAATGGGGTAGCAGAGTTGAGATACGGATTTCACCAAGATAGAGAAGGCTCAATCCATTAAATGTGCAGAACATAAATTTAATGTTAGTCAGTGCATCAATCCAAAATTCACTTCTATATTAAAATTCAAAAATTACCCTGGGCTTAATTGACCATCTAGAGCTACTATACTGTTATAAAAACACCCATATCGTTTGAAAACACTGAAGGACAACCCTTCAAGCCCCCAACCCGTTCTGGTACGTACTGTACAAGATGAGTGTCAGGGCCTTACGTGTCCAGGGCTGGCTAGTGTGTTTGTAAGCCCAGGATATAACCATCCACACCTCTTCTTTCTTTCTCCTGTATGTACACATCCCACCTCTGTGGCCTGGTGTGTGTACAGTAGAGTAGTGCGTCCATCTCCCACTTTTCCAGACTTTGCCTCTTTTCAAACATGTCTGGGCCTAGTCCCGCTTTTTTTCTGCTTTGGCGACTTTGTTCTCATTTCTCAGTGTCTGCTCTTTCTTGTGTGGTTTACAGTGCTGATCCTTGCTGTGTTTTTCTGTGGCCTCGGCCATTTAGTTTCCTGGCTGAGATTCTGGTCTTTGATTCTACAGGAAGGCTGGAGAGTCACTGTAAAATTGCTTCTCTTTCATTAAAACTATATTCACCAAAAAATCATTACCTTTTAATCATACTTTAAAAATTCAGCTTATACAGAACTCATGCCCATTTAGGTAAATGACTTAGAGACAGAGAGTACATCATGTTACCTTCTAACTACAGGACATTTCCAAGTGTTTGTTCTGGATTTCACTTTTTAATCCATATATTCCAATCGCACTCACTTGCCATTTATGAATGTGAAAGTATAATTCAGGAAAAAATGAGTTTTTAAAATACAGAAAAAATAACATTTCAGAATGTTAGTTCCACATAAATTATTTAGTAATATGATATTATTTTTCATTGGCAACTGTCCATACCTAGGGTTTAAATGTTAAAAGCATTTCTCTGGTCACATTGCCTTTTTGTTTGTTTGGTTTGTTTGTTTGTTTGTTTGTTTGTTTGTTTGTTTGTTTGTTTGTTTGTTTGTTTGTTTTTTGTAGTAGTTGTCAAAAACCGCTTGCTAATGCACAATACCTTCTGTGTTATAGTAAAAAAACCTCTGAATGAGACTCTTAAACTGGATTAACAAAGTTGCTTCAATTTATATCTTCTCAGGGCTTGAACTCTTCCAAATTCTTCCAGAGATCACAGTATTTTTTTTAATGCTTTAAGAGCTAAACAAAAGTATTCAATGAGATAGTGTCTACATGGTCAGTGTCAGTGTTGTGCCAATCTGTTCTCTTTCATGCTAGCCTGTGTGTACAGTACCACCATGGCTTGTGTGTGCTCTGCAGTGTCCTGTCTAGTGTTCCATTCTCAGGAGCTCACATTGTTTCTCCATCCTCAGACCCAGCTCTTGGAGACACAGAGGGAGCCCAGTGTTCAGCTAGCTGAGAACCTGCTGTGTGTGAGGAAGCCTGCAGTAGGCCGGACACACTCCCTGCCCAATGACAGCTACATGTTCCTGCCTCAGCACTCTGGGGACTCCTCTTCCCCCCAGAAAGTATCGCCTCAGAAGGGCCAGTCAGGTAATGCGTGCCCTTTTTATTTCTGTACCCTATCTTCTCTCTTTGTTGTATATTTGTTTTTGCATTGCTGTACATGTTTCTCTCATGGTGCACCTTGTTTTTTTCATTTCTGTTACCTTCAATTTTAGCAGGGATTCTGCTTTCCTCGTTTGCCCAGAGTTCTATTAGTTTCAAATGTTTAACACAGTGAGATACTGGATGTCTGATTTCCTTATCAAAGCTTCTAAAATCTTTGAAAACTCCTCAGAATTCGTTGTCTAATGTTTTCTCAGCCTGCTTCTAGCAGAATCTAGAATTTCCCATCGATTCGCTGTTCTCCACCCCAATATAACAACAGATGTGCCTACCAGTGCCTTAAAACACCACTCTAATTCATTGAGTACTAAACGTGTTTTTTTTTGTTATATTAAATTCTGCGTAATAATGAGTAACTTGTTTCTGCTTTTTCGTGTTTTATATTAATGTTTCTTAAGATGATGTCATGAAAATGGTATATAAAATGATTGCATCCTACAAACAGGAACCTTTTTTTCAAGGTACCACACACAAGTAACTGAGTGAAACTGGGGGCTGGCATGTTCGAAATCACACAGTAATGCCCACCAGTGTCAAACGTATTCTCTTAGTAAGGGTGGGGAGATCCACGCAAGCCCTCCCATTGGGGATGAAAGTTGTGAAACGAATGCTGAAATTGACTGTTTTCTCTTCCTGTCTTATCCCCAGGCTCCATCACCTCTGTGCAGTCACAACCTGTTGAAAGTAGTGCCTGTCACCTAGCTGTACCGACAGACCTCTTCCGTCCCATCAGCCCCCATACTCACTCCATCACCAAGAGCATCCCCCGTATTCCGCCTCCACACCGCTCACAGACCGCCAGCCGCACCCTGCGCAGACAGGTGAGAAGCCGAGACGCAGCCACACAGGTTTGTCACTGATAGCGAAAGAGACAAACCGTGGAATGGCAGGAGAGCGAAAAAAAACCCTGTGCATAGCGGCGGGACAGGGGTTAGCCCGGGCTCAGCTTCTCAGGAAATGCCGTATAAAAGACCTATGCCCTCAGGCCACAGACATGGGGTGACCTGGTGCTAGGCGGGTCTCAGGACATCCGAACCTCAATGCTGAGCAAGGAGGAAAGCGTGACCTGGAAATATATAGCCCCAGACAAAGACACACTGGAAGGACAAGCACCAGAAACTAGGGACAGGACAGAGTAAGAGCGCCCTCTATCTGTAGAGGATGTGACAGGGTTGTCACGACACGGTCACTGCAATTAAAAACAACTTTAATTAGCATTAGGGGAATTCTATAATTTTAACTAAATTGCACCTTGTAAAATGATACCTATGCTGAATGGTGCAAAACAGACAACGTATATATTTAACCAAACACCTGTCTGTTTGAGTGTTTTATATATACAAATTATACAGTGCCTTGTAAAAGTATTTACCTCCTTCCTATAATGTCCCATTTTGTAGAATTTCAAATGGTGTATACCCATCTTGAAAGTCTCTTTAAGTCAAACTTGCATGCAGAAACTGAACATTTTCATAAATGAAATTGAATGTCAGAAAAGAAAAATCAAAAACTAAAATATGCTAATTATGTAAGTGCTCACCTCCCTGAGAAAAAACTAGGTGGAAGCATCTTTTGCAGCAGTTACAGTGGCAAACCCGGTAAGTTGGTTCAGGATTGTTGATGGACAGTTTTGCCATACTGTATATATCCTATTGGATTCAAGTCAGGACATTGACTGTGCCATAACAAAATGCTGCCACTCACATTGACATTAGGGATGGAGTCAACTACGTGACATTAACGCTTTACATGATTAGACCAAAAAGTTCCAATGTTTTTTAGTCTGACCACAAAATCTTGTGCCAATACAGAATTACTTAAATGTTTTGTTTACAAGTTGCATGCAGAATTTGAGATAAGTCTCCTCCTCTGCTTTTACTGGTCTGCTTTTTGAGGTGATGAGAACATTGTTAACTCACAAATATTTTGATCCCCCATCGCTCTATAGTGCTATCAAAGTTTCTATTTACCTCACTGTAGTATCTCCAACCAGTTTCCTCCTTGACTAGCTTCTCAATCTTGAGAAACTGCCTAACCTAGGGAATGTTGAGGTAGCACACCTTCCATTTCTTAATGATCAACTTCACCTTGCTTAAAGGGCTAGTCTTTGAGCATTCTCCTGAACATTCTCCTGTTTGATTTTCAACTGTATCCCTGATGCATTGAAAGCTCCTTGATGTATTGATCTCTGCGGCTCAATCTTTCCAAGACATTTTCTCCCAAGGATGGTGTATTTATTCTTCAATCCTGTGAAGCGCTATTATTGTACACAGATAGAGGCCATTCATCTGTGTGATAAATTTTGTACTCCAGAATTAATTTGGGTTTACCACAGCTAAGGGGTTGAATACTTTAGTTTATGTTATACTTTTTATTTATGTAATTCAACAAAATTGACCATCACTGGAAGGTGGTAAATATTGTACTTTTGCTGGGCACTATAATTCAACAACATAATTTTACTTCAGTACGATTCATGTATTGGTGATACAAATGCAGTAGAAATATGTTTAATAAAGCCTGTGTCCCATAGAACCATAAGGGTTTCTCAACCAAACTACGGTTAAACTCAATAAACTCAGAAACTCCTCCAATCTACATGGAATTGGTATCGTCACTGGAAGGAGGTGTACTTTTGTAATACTTGTACAAGACACAATGTTTCTCTCAGCTGTTCAGGATCAGATCTTCTGTGTTAGTTTCAGTCGGCTGGTCACTGTTACTGTTATCCATTCTAAGAAAAGAAAGCTTTCAGATGTCCTCCCTGGTGGAGATTATGCCTGTGTATTAGAAACACATGGATCAGCACAGTAAGGTCTACTTATTTTTTAAGCATGCACTTGTAGCCTGACTGGCGCTCATTTAATCCGATTCCCATAGTAACTGTAGTGTGCTGTAAAACATATATTCACAGCACATGCCCACAGTATTGACAATAGAACAACTCAAATTGTTTATTTAATTAGTGCCACTGGGATGCTTTTAATTCTCAAATCCTACTTTTTAGAACCAAGCTAAATGAAAAAAAATATCCAAAAAGTGTTTAGTGAAATGATAAAGTTGAAAACATTCAGCTACAATGCAGCTGTAATATGCAGACAACATTCCCTTGCCTCTGAACTCTTCTGTATACATCCAGGTCTAGCCAAAACATGCTGTGTGGATTTATTTTCTCATTTTATAGTCTTGTGTTTCGAACTCTGAATTCTAATTCTTTCTTTCTAATTTCCTCCTTGTCTTTCTTTCTAACTAACCATTCTCAGCTGAGTCTTGTACATCACAAGCCAGATCACCACATTCTCCTCCGACACAGATACTCCTGCTATTAACTCCCCTTTTTCTCCCTTCTCCTGCTCCTCCCTTTCGTTACTGAAGGCACTTCACATAAGACTCTAGAGGGGGAAAAAGAGGACTTTCAGTGACTAAGCCAAGTCATTGAATTACATTGATTAAAACCTGATTTCACTTTGTTATAGGGCTACACAACCTATTTAACATTGCAGTACTTCAGACTTTTAAAGTTTTGCAGTTTTTTCAAACAAGTGACACACAGCTGCTTAAGGGAGTAAGCACAGCTGTAAGTCATAGTCCAGTAATATTCATAGTAAGAATAGTGAACACCTAGAAGGAAGAGCTTCGGTGTTACTGATAGCAATCAGAGCTATGCTGTCTTGTAAACTGACAAATTTATCAACTTTTTCAGGAGCTGTTGTTTTAAAGAATCCTATAGAATCTGCTCTTTTCTGAAAACCCCAGTGTGCTCTTGGTATTTTTATTGACATGTGATTATTGATTATTTCATAGATTATTTAATAAAAAATGAAGGTGTCATGACCTCAATGTAAAAGATACAAAGAAATATAAAACAAGATTGTTAGTCCAGAGCTACAGTATAACTCAGACACTTAACTTCCCTTAGAATTCATTTTACAAAATAGCACACAGACGTCAGTGGATTATGATAAGCACAATATGTTGCAAAATGTGTCGCTGTGCCACTATTTAGATTTGTTCAAAATTAAGTAGCATTTGATTGAGATCATTTAACTATAAAGACTTTTATCACATACTTGTACTGTATGCACAAAATAACTTGCAGACGATGTCCAGTTTATAACTTTTACTAATGTTCTGATGCTCTTTTTTAACCAACAGACTTCCATTGAAATTTCTGTTTGGTACAGAACCTATCACTGCTGTTGAGAGTATAGATTATTTTTATGTAACAGCTCTGAGGGACAGTTTCAAAATTAGAGCAAGATCAATTTATTATCTTTCTTGCAGAACATTACCGTCACTATTATTAACTCCTTGGCTCTCAGAAGCTCAGAAGGCATTAATGAATATTTACTGTATCGTTATGACATTACACTTAGCATATTCCTGTCAGCTTCAAACACAAGTAACATCTTTAGTTTCAATTACACTATAAACACACTCCTGGCATTTCTGTCAGAACTTGCCTTGTTGTTTCCCATGGTCCACCTCACTCTTGAAAATTCGACCCCCTGTTTTAGAGAGTCAGATTTCTTTCTCACCTCACAATAGCCACTGATTGCAGTTGCCAAGCCAAATCTTTGAGTGAAGAACAGGTGCTGTTTGAGGGACCAGAATGTTAAGATCCCATATTTTCCAGTTTATTCTGCCCTTTCTTTTGAATACATATCGTTGTATACCGAGGGAAAATTAACACATGAGATAAAATGCAAAGTGAAATTAAAACTTGTTAAATACAGTAGGATGTTTCTAACCAGATTTTAACAAGTCACAGGAGCTTTTACAAGTTTTTTGGACCTCCTGACTTATCATTCTATTTGTTCGTGGCCTTGGATTTTTGAATACACACAGCCCAAAACCATACATTTTTACTGATTGTAAACTCTCAGTTTCTATGACATATTAAAACTGGAGGTCTAAATGTGAAAGTGATAAAGCTTTGGCAGAATGTTTGAGATACTATGTACAAATTTATAAATAAGATTTGTATGCAATTTTTTATATATTTTTTAACATCATGTGTAGGTCCTGGGGCCCTCTCATGGGGCCCTCTAAGGAAATCTCTTCCTATGTAGCTCAGAAGTTAGGAAGCCATTACAATCTAAATACTGAGGCCACCATTTAAAACAAAAAGGTGCCGAATTTCTGCAGTTCCAAGTCCAACAAGAAAGACCTTAAATATTGAGAAATAAACACAAAAAACACTGGAGACAACATAAAGTCACAATATCCTCTCACCTCTTCCACAGAACGTCCTACCTAGAGTTTGAGCCAGCCTATCATTGCCGAAACTGCTCCCCATTATTTGAGACAATTCAGAAAAATCCAGTGTGTACTGTAATAGTCAAAAGAAGGTCCAAATACATTTACATATACTACACTAACAAATTAAAAATCACACATGTATAAATATACATTACTGCTCATTTTTTTACAGATTTTTCTCCTTAGCAGGAAGCCAACAGTACACATTTGTTTTAATTGGATGGAATATAGTGTCCCCAATGGTAAGAATAGGAAGGGGAGACCAGCTCCCCTCCAAACATTTTAATGACACCAGCCTTCCCCACTCAACACCTTTTAGGACCCAAAGTACAAAGGAAAAGTCTTCACTCCCTACATCTGTCTTTGATGAAAACCTAGCAAGTCTTGTTGTCTAGTCAGTATCTCACACTTGTCTCAAGTTTCTGGTGTCCACCCTCTGTCCCTGTAAAAGCCAATATTATTGTGGAAGGATAACTAAAAATTAAGTGATCTGTCCAGTTAAGTATCAGTGAAAAAATCTGCTAACAGACTATTGATAAAAGTATATACTTAGTTAAATCTTTTTATTTTAAACTACAAACATAAAATCCTTGTTTGAGTCTCTGCAGATTTTATGTTTCACTGTTACTGGTAAATATTATTTTTTTGCTTTTATTTCATTTTTTACTTATTAGGTTATCATTTAAACTTTTAATTATTTTACAGTATGTTGTAAAAAAATTGTCATCATCACCAAATATCAGGCTTCCTGTTAAAGTAATAAAATTACTAGCCTAGTTTTTAACATACCTACAAACAGTTCTAAAATCAAATAAGCAATGATTATGAAGGGATCATTTAATAAAATCTAGAACAATGCTTATTAAAAAACATTCCACAATTCAGAGCCTATTCTCTGGACCAAACAGCTCTATGACTGACAGTTTGTTTTTCTAGCTATAAGGTATATCATGGCTGATGTAGCACATAAAACCAGTTGTTGACAGACTACCATAACCATGTCAAATACAGAACAGGTTCAGTCTTTATACATCATTCACATCACAGTATTCTGTTTACTTGTGTTCTTTTCATATTTGCATTTTTCTTTCCATTTGCTGGCTCCCTCCATGTAGTATATGCACTCTTAGGTGGTATGTACAGTACTGTAGCTGTGCAATCAGATGCTATTGCAATGGAGCTCAGTTCTGGGGGAATCTCATGAGTTTTTTGCTGCCTTAATACTTAATAATGTTTAGCTTACATTCCCTTTTATTTCTCCGTTAGATGTATTTGCCCATACAATATTAACTAGGATTAACAGGGAAAACTAAAAAGAAGGAAAATATTTTGCTTCTGAAGAAGTAGGGTACCTTTGACTTTGGACTGATCATTGAAAATCTTTCATTGAGACTGTTTGCAGATTCTTCTGCCATCACTCCAAAAACAAGGGGTTGTTTAAAATCAAATTGAGTTTTGGGGAGAGTTCATGTGAATAAGAAAAAAAACACATCTAAATTGTTTGAGCTGTGACCAGTAGTGTTTTTAAAATGTCCTTTTTTTTGCAGGAATCAATAAATTTAGACACTATAATGATGGACATTTCAGTTTAATACTGTAGAATTATATTCACGAATTACCAATGTTGGGTTCATATGAATTTTCTTATCATAGGACAGTTATTAAACCCCAATCATGATTAATTAAAGAAACAGCATTTTACAGCATTTTCTCTGGATAGAGGAACGCAATATTTTGGTTTGATTAAACCATTAATAATCCTTCTGAAGTTTTGTTTTCAGTGTAACTGCAGAATTAACAATGCGTGCGCATTAACCACAGATGACTAGAATATCATGGTCCATGCAGCAAATGGAGCAAAATAATAATGTAACTGAACTGTACAGCTACAGAGCTGTCACTGTTAGCATTCCCATCACCATTCTGTCCTCAGACAGAGGGGTTCTTGAGATTATCCGGGGACAGATTTTGGTCGCTTCATGTTCTCATTATGGCAGGATTAGCCAATACCTCCCCCTACCACCCTCACTACCGCTGTCCCATCACCACACTAACCTGTTTCCCCTCTCACCTCCCCATCTGTGTCATCCCGACCCTGAACACCTTCCCATCCCCGTTCCCCTCCGGCCCATTCAGGTGGCTGTTACCAATGACTCCCTGGACGCCCTCTGCACGGAAGTGGAGGAAGACGGCGCCACGGGGCAGAGCCAGCAGAACGAACTTTCCGTCTTGGGTTTCCCCTCCCAGCCAGCCGTTCTGCTTGTGCCCGCCACGCCCGGGGCGTCTCCCGAGGCGGTGCGCTCTAGCGTGCGCACACAGCACGCCCCCCACGACCAGTGCAATGTCTCCAAGTGCCCCCCTCCTGCACCCGCCCCTCCGGCCCCAGCCAGGAGGAACCCCTTCGGGGGCCAGGAGGACCCCGTGGACCAAGAAGTGTCGAACATCATCATGGCGGGGCTTCGCGTGGAGAGAGGGCCCTGCCTGCGCGAGCTAAAGAAATACCACAGTGTGGACACTCAGGGCCGCCGGCTCCTGCTGGCACGACCCGCCTCCTGGCTGGATGATCCCCGGCGGCACTCCATCGAGATCTGCTCCTCCGTGGAGAGCAGCCCCCAGCGCAGCTCGGGCTCCTCGGGCTTTGTCTCGCGGGCGGAGAGTTTCCAGCAGCCCTCCCCGAGGCACAAGAAGAAGATGAGTCCTCCCTGCATCTCCGTGGAGCCCCCCGACTGCCAGGAGCTTAGTATGAACTTTCATGCCGGAGTGCCCCCTCCACGGCCCGGGAGAGAGAACTGCCTAAGGAGGCGAGCACCTTCCTGTGACTCCAAGGACTCGCTGGACCTGGGTGGGGAGGGCTTGCCTCCAGACAGTTCCCCCAACCCCAAACTATTGACTCTTCCCAGTTTCTCCTTCGAACAGACTGATGCCGAACACTAAAAGCGCCGTCTACATCAACAGTAATAATTCTAATAATAATGATAATTAAAATAGTGATCACCGTTGTCCTTTCTGCATTGCCAAAAAAAAAGGAAAAAATTTCAAATAAGACTGTTTCTCTTCCAAGACACTCGAGACTACCTTGGTTGCTGGTGAACCCAAAGAACTCTCCCGGTCTGCGTCCACCAGCTGTCGAGAGGAAACAACTGATGACCATTCAGCCTCCCACTGAGGTTCACTTCCAGTTTCTGTTCTGACACCTAGATTTCTGGAGCACAGTGGAGTCCAGGGATGGTGGGAAGTACAAAGCAATACGAACGTTTTAGAGACACTACTTCTATTTTCTTAAATTATTCGGACATATGTGTTGATGCAGGATGTAGAATTTTTTGTGATATTTTCTTTGGTAATTTGTTTTGGGTTTTTTTTTCACCATGGGATTTTTTAATTTTTTTTTCTGATCTAACAAAGAAAATAACATGTTTCAAAGTACGTTTGAGATCCACGTATGTGTAGAAACCATAACAAGAAAAACAAAAACAGTTCTTTAAATTTCTCTTTGATTTTTAAGCACAAATAGTAGCCGATAGTGCATTAAATATGAAGAGAAAATAAAACTATCTATATATAAATATAAAATATATATATTGTGGCAAAAACCCATTTATTTATGGAATCATTAGGATGGGTGTGTGATTTGTTTAACTGTTTTTAATCCCTGCCTTTTCAATTAGAAACAGAGACGCAAAAACTTTCAGAAGTGTGAGTGAGTTTGTGTCTGGGGGCCTGTGTCCTGTTCCTTGTGTTTTATCAACACTCATGTTCACTTTCAGAAATCAAGAGGACAGCAGGTAAGATTCTGACCATGAAAGTTAACAAGTACTCTTGGAAATCCGTTCATATCTGCAGCAGCTGAATTTTTGGATGCCTTCAAGGAGAACCTACAAGAAATACTGCTTGTTGTCTGGTTTGATAGTTGAAGGAAGACTCATCTGGTAAAAAAAAACTCGGAGTCTTTTGCTTTTGGTTTAACTTGTCTTTCTGATGTGTTTTCTACCACTGCTGGCACTTCATACTAAACAGAACAGTAATTCAGTGCCAGCGTCGAATGACTTCCAAGTTCCTGTGAAGCAGGGCACTTTATTTGTAATTTCTTTTAATTGAATTAATGTCCTGTGGTGGTTATCGTTATTATTAATATTAACCACCATAGAACATTAACTGAATTACATTTTTACATTTTACATTTTACAACTGAATTACATTACAAGATTTAAAATCTATAATAATAATATAATATCTGGTTTATAAGAAACTCACAGCAGTTGTACCTGCCAAGTGCAGAAGATGAGATAGTATTTGACCTTTTGAGATAGTATTTAAGATGTATAGTATTTGACCTTTTCTCACACTCAAGCCAGGAGTTAAAAAGTGAAGGCAAACAGTGGAGGACAGAAGCAGATTAGGATGAATGTTCCTGATTTTGTAGGCTGCCCAGTGACCACAGGTCTATCAACACTCCCACAGCATGTGAATAGCACAGTCTAGACCTGATTCAGAGATGTCTCTGCCAAGAATTTATTTATGTGGTGGTCCAGTACAAATTTTGGACCTCTGTACTCTGAAAGGTTAAAAAATATATATATATATACTGATGGAAAAAAAGACAATATTTTCTGGAATGAGAAAACTATAGTTATAGCTTACGTACTTTCACAAAAAGTTGTCAATTTGTTTTAAGCCCTCTGACCAGCCATACAGCTTGTGTGGTGAGGCATTGTAATTTGCCAATCACACGAAAGCTCGTTAGGTGCACTTTTACCTAACGAAGTCCAGGTGGCACAATGCCTGATCAGGTCACCTTCAAAAGGGCCTTAATTCAAAGCTTAGGCCACTACAAGAAAAAGGTCACACTTAGTCAGTTTTTTGTGCATTCCATAACGCCTTGAATGTCACCAGAAGCAAAGGAGAGGGCCATGCACACACCTGAAGAAGGGTCCACGGCAGAAACATTGTTTTCTTTCTTGTCTTTTCAGCATGAAATAAACCTATTACTTGTTCCAAAGTTGTACTTGTTCCAAAGTTGTAGAAAGTCTACTTTGAAGATTTACTTAGAAGATCAACATTTGAAAAGGCCTGACTCCCCGCAGCCCTTTCATATTACATGATGAAGAACTCGATACAAATTCACTTCACGTCCCAGATTTTGAAATTCCAAAATGAAATGTTTCCCATCAGTCTAAGAAGGAAAGAATAAATATCATAGAACCATGAATTGAGGAAGCACATTCATTATTGTTACAAAGCTTGGAGAGAATTGGGGAAATTAATCAGTGTTCGATTCAGTGTATTTTTTGTAAAAAAAAATGTAATGGCATGTAAAGAAGAGTAAAACTCAGTACTAAGGTATCTATCTGAGATATGAGATATTTTAGAGAACTATTTGTAGTAGAGTGGCAAACCTGAGGTAGAGGTGAAAGTTGGAGACCCTGATAATCGCCCCTTAAAATAGCAAACTGGGAAGATCACTAGATGCCTGTTAATATTATAGCTGATGGGTTATAAAATTAAACATATTAATGACACTTAATACCAAACCCTTATAACCTAAAACTACAGCTATTCCACTTGAAGCAGCAAACAGCCCACTCAGTATAACGGAAAAGATTAGCACAGGATGAGACAATAAGATGGAGGAAATCTCTTTAATAAACATTTCTGATAGTGGTGAACTAATTTGGTCACATAAGCCCCCAGTTGCAGTCCCAGTACTTTTTACATCTCACCAAAATAAACCTGTCTCTATGACAGCGTGAGTCCTATTATTGATAAATGGACACACTGTGTCTTGAAAAAATATTCAGATCCTTGCACAGTTATTGGATTTATTGGTTTAAAGCCTGCAATAATGTCACAGTAAAGTAGCCATTGTGGTGTTTCATGGTTGAATTAACTGGGACAATTGCAAACTATAACTATAAATTGCAAGAGTGCTTTATGACTATTATGAATCAACTAGACAGAATAAGATGCAGTTGCTGCACATGGATTCAAAACATATAATAAAATTATTTAATAATACAACAGCAAAACAACCAAACCAACAGGAGTAATAATATACTGTATATGTGAACTGATCTGCAGGAATACAAACTGCTGATCATTCACTAAGGGATTTTAAATAAGGGTTAAACATACATCAACTATAACGTTTGTTAAGGTCTTTTATCTAATACTGTACTGTATAGTATGTATTTGGAATAACAGTTTAACTCTTGAGATTGAAATGTGAACATTGGAGTTTTACTTGCCAAATCGACACACTGGCCAGGTCTATTTTATGGAGAGTTTAAAAACACTGCTAGAAGCCAGAGCTACGCTGGGTTCATCGCAACTGTCCAGTCTTGCCGTCACCTCTGTGTCAAGGAAGTCCTTTGATAGAAGAAGAGGGGAAGAGCAATGCTTAAAATCGTGCTTAGTGCTGAAGAAGGCTTCCAGGGAAGGGCAGTGTTGTGCTCATCCTTCCCTTCAAACAGTCTGTTCACAGAGTCTGCTAAGATCCAATCTAGTGGGATGGCAGTGGTTCACTGGGAGGTGCAGCCCTATTAGTGAATATGCTGATAGTTGAACAAAGAGGTCCAACTATATTAATTCCATTGATCCAGCAAAACAAAAACTAGTTCACACATCACAGAGCTTCCCTTCTGAAGAGAAAAATTTGGGCAGAAGTCTGTTTACATACAGTATGGGTTCAGTCTCTCTCAGCCTGGGGTCTTGAACAAAACTTTGGTTTCCTGAATTGGACAATGGTGGTAGCAGTTCCAGATTCACAGTTTCTCCATGGTTGAGACTGGAGCAGAGATTAGTTCTTACATTTAATTGTACAATTCGTTGCAAGCACAGGTAAGAAGGATATTAAAAAGGCCAAGAAAGATACTGAAAGGAATATTGCAATGTTGGCTTAAATGCTACAGATGTTTCAGTGCTACAACAACACAATAACTGTCAAGGATCAAGTAATATATATTAGGGATGAGAATGTGAAATTTCTGGACCATGAAAGGGAAATAGTGTTTTACTTAAATTAGTATTTCACCAATGTAATCACTAAGGAAGATTAAGCAACTTGTTAAAGTTTTTTGAATAATCAACAACCGTAATGAATGCATGCGAGTGATATGGCAAAGATTTTCAGAAGAGCTTTTGATTAAGTACCATACAAATGATTATTTCACAAATTTTAGCCAGCAGGCATTCAGGGAAATGCAAAAATTGAGAACTGATTGTTAAACAGTAAACAGGGAACAGAAAAGGGCTATGTATCGAATTGGGGTGATGTAAATTAAGAAGATCCCTGCTGTGCTCCATTAATTACATCAGTGATGTAAATTCTAATATAGTTAGTGTACTAGTCACATTCACAGATGATACCAAATTAGAAAATTCAGCAAACACTTTAGAATCAGCAAATTAATTTAAAAAAAAGATTTAGATACAATGTAAAACTTGGCAAACACCTGGCAGTACACAAGGGCAGGGGTTTGCGTGCAAATGGCAAAAACAAGCTATTAACAGACACTGGGAAAGGCTGAGCAAGAAGAGGCTGCTTATGAGAAAGACTTATGTAAATTGTGTCAAAATAAACACGCATTCTAGACAATATGGAGAAGCAGTTAAATATGCAAATAAAATGTCAGGATGTAGTTAAAAGCATAGAATTTAAATAAGGGGTTGTTTTGTTAAAATTGTACAACACACTATTAAGTCCTCATTTAGAAAGCTGTGCACAATTTCGGTCTCTACGTTACAGAAAAGATATTGCCTGTCTGGAATTGATCCAGGGAAGAGCAACCAAACACAGGGCTTAAAGAAATATCCTACACTGACAGATACACTGTAAGAACTTTAACTTGTTAGTGTTAAATAGAAGACAATGAGGGGATGTGGTACAAGTATTCAAAATCTTCAAAAGCATTAACAAAGACAATCCAGAGTAGAACTCCATTTAAAACTAAGAACAGAAGGCACTTCTTTACCCAAAAGGTTGTGGGAGTATGATACAAGCTACTGTATACAGCTATATTTTTTAATTGTTACCCTTCTTCCAGTCTATCAAGGCTGAATGAAAGCCTTGGATTGATTAGTACAGTAGGGTCTTGACATACTGTACTGTATGTATGGAAGAAGAGCAGAGCGAGATGAAACCGAGCTTCAGGTTTGTTAATCTCTGCAACTTTCATTTTAGCTGCACAAGCAGACTAGGATCATGAAATGAATCTGGCTAGTGAGTGTGTCTCTCCCTGATGCATGCCCAAGTGCCCTCAGTAACGCAGTATCGGCATACTGTTGTTGTTGTTGTTTTTAGTTGAACAATAGTCTTTTAAATAAACTAAAAGCCCATGCATAGTACTTTAATGATCATAAGGGGGGTTACTTATGCCTTTAAACCTTACGTACTACAGTATAATCTACACTATACTATGCAACAGTATAGGGGTGGACCTGAAAATATGAGAATTTAGCTATTCATGATGATTCTCTGCATCAAACCTTCAACACCCCCACTGTACTAACTACCGAACAGACAATGGCCTCCTCTTGTTTGTAACCTGACTTGTATTTCGTGAAACTTTCAGAATACTAAACATCACAGCTTTAACTGTGCCTGTGACCAGGAACGAGGCTTCAGAACTGGGTGTGAATGCACAATGCATCGTTAGTCCCGGCCATCTGTCTACTGCCAATTCTTTAACAAGCCCTGAGCAGTTAGCTCAGCCCACACCCAAAACATCCAAGGAACACTACCTCCCCCCGAGAGTGTGAGCCTCAGTTTCAAAAAGCCCGAGTCAGAGAACTCGGGACTTTGGAGAAAAAGCAGCTGCACGTGAGGACTCAAAACTCAAACACCAGCGACTGAGAGCAGAGGAGGGAGACCCCAGCATCATCCTTCTCCCCCTCGTAACTTGGACTAGGAGACAAACAGAGCAGAGTTTTTACTACCTGCATGTAATAGCCAGGTGTTTGCCTGGTCGTGAATTTTATCTACAGTAAAACCGTTTATATTCCATCTGCTACTTCTGAAGTGTTTGCTAATTCTTCTAATTTGTTATCATCTGCAGGCTTGACTAGTTTATTAGTCCCCAATCTGGATCCTACTGCAGATCGCCATGGCCCTCTGCTAATTGCATCGCCATTATCTGAGTATTATTTGTACCCTCTGTTTTCTGTTTAATAAACAATTTTCAATCCAAATTCCCTGAATGTGATAATTAATCACTTTGAGTAATTTGATCCAGTCTTCTGAAAATCTAAATGCATCATATCAAGTACCTCATGTGTATCCACCACTATACATGCTTTTTCAGTGCACTCTTAACACGTTGGTTAGGCAAGACCTTACTTTTCTAAATACATCATATTTCTCAAGATTTGATTTTCATATAGACTTGCCCCTGGTTTAGGTCTTTTAATCATTTCTATTTCCTTACTTTGGGAGTCAAGACTATCAGAATTGGATGGAAATTGGTATTTTTTCCACTTAATTCCATTTTCTCACCCTTTGTATGGATGGGCACTACATTAGCAATACTCCAGTTCCTGGGTACAATTCTTATATTGTATTGGTAAGTTACCGCTGGGTCCTGGGGATTTATTAAACACAAATCCTTCTACTTTGTGAAACATTTCCCTTTTCCATGATAATTCTATCCAATACATAACTTCTTTAGTGAATACCTTAGTGAAATACTTGTTCAGTGCATCAGCTATTTCCCATTCACTGTCCTCAAGTTTCCTATTTTTAATTTGCCATTTGATACATTTTACTTAATCCTGGTTCTTGTAGTCCGGAAACAACATTTATTATTATTAGTAGTATTATTAATAATAATAATAATTTAGCATATAATTTAACGCACTAATTTAACATGTTGCCGATTTATATATACACACAGTATATATTAAAAGCTCTAGGATGATACCTGTCCGTGCTCGTTTGTTTCTTCATTACGTATGTAAGATTAAACATATACAAACATGCTTGTTTGCAAAAAGTAATTTACTATTTTTCAAAGTTTTATTTTTTGCTGCCTTGTAAAAATGCTCAGCTCATGCATAATACATAAGGTGATACCTTACGAGATACCGAAACTGGAAGTTTTCGCTACGCATCCCTTAATCATACATATGATGAAGCAATCTAGTATAACCATATGTAATTTTATGTCTGACAATATACAGTAAGATGACAGTGTTAAAACGTCTTAAGTTTCGGAAAGGAGCTGTCTTGGCTACAAAACAATGTATAAATGACGCAGAAATTCCTGTTCAGCAAGGTTTTCTGACGAGCAGAGAACCTGCGGTCACGGTTGAGAAATATGTCATAAGTGATTTCTAAAATAGCAATTCTAATGAAAAGCTAGCAGCAGTCACATACCCATCTCTCACTTTATCTGAACGCCCTCTTTTATAAATAATGTCAAGGACTTCGTAACTCTTAGCACAAGCAGAGGAGACGCATCAATGGAGTTGATAGTTACTCTCGCTCTAGGCGCCTTCACACTGGTGCTGGCTGTCCTTTTAAAACAGCGGCGCACCGTACAACAAAATTTCCCCCCCGGACCACCTCCTCTGCCTGTCATAGGAAACCTCCTGCAGCTCGACCGCAAGGCTCTCTTCAAAAGTTTTGTAAAGGTAAGTGTTTAAAAGTTTTATTTACCATTATTAGATCGTGGCTTGTTGGGTACTCTAGAGCAAGACACTAACGCTCCAGAAAGCGGAAAGCGGTGTGTCAGCTATGATCTTTGGAACTACTTCTAATGTAATTTGGCTTGGAAATTGAACAACTTAATTTTGTTTTACTTAAGGTGTCCATCTTCAAAACGCACAGTAGCAAAGCTTCGAGCGGGGCTTAATATATTTTACCTTTTATTTGTAATTATATTTACCTATTCTTGGTTTTGACAGTTTAGAATAATAAAATGCAAAATTTATCATTTTCTATTTTACGTTATATGTCAGTAAACTAAATTATTTTAATGGCTCATGTGTAATAATCAATTGGACGGGTACTTGGGAAACGCTGTTACCTCAAGTTATAAGTAAAAGCGCTTAATAGGTACCAGTTGGTTAATAGGTAGCATAGCTATCAATTCATCTTTCAGGTTCTAATTGATCGTTTACTTGTTCGTACGTGTAAAACTAAATATTTGTCAATCTGTTCATTAACTGTGTAAATGCAGTTATCAATCGTACACAGTGCAGTTCGAGTTTATATCTTAATGTGACGAACAAAAGAAAATGCATCTATTTAATTATGTTACGGAAAAAATAATAACAAAGAAAATTTGCATTTAATAGGGTAGCAGAGAAACAGCATTGACGTGGTAGTCGCTTTCGAAGGTGATATGCCTCCAGGCAGAATATAATCTGAAAAGGTTTACAAAATACTAATTACATGTACTATGTTTTTCCTTAGAATTTTCTTTCGACATTTGTGGGTGTTCCGTCCCTACATATTTTTTGTCTGACGTCCAAGGTTATCCAGGGTTTCAAGTTTCTCTGATTCATGCTACCTGTATATGAAGCTTTTCTCACTATAGTCTACAATATATACCGCACAGTATATCCAGAGTCGAGGAAATAATATAATAATAGGAATTACAATCCTTTCTTATAAAACCAAGGTTTATACTGTATTTATAATTTCAATGGTTTTGAGACCCAATGGTACAAAATAAAAAAAACGAATAATGAATAATTTGTGTATGTAAAATAATTACTCAATCCCAAATTATGTTAGCACAGTTACGGGGTACTTAAAATCAGGTGGTTAAATAACTGATTAACAAGTACACAAGATCTGAGTGTGGACAGCTCTGCCAAGAGCTGTGTGAGTTTGGTCTCCAACATACAGGCTAGTGGAAATGTGTCATGCCACAATCAAAAGAAATATCTAAAACTATATCTAAATATTTGGTCCTCCATTAGTGCACTGTCAGACAGATAGTAAATGTAAACTATTCAAGACCACAGTGACCCTACCCAGAACTGGTCGTCAAGCCAAGATCACCTCAATAACAATCTGGAAAATGATCCAGGAAGTCACAAAGAACCCCAGATTAACTTCTAAGGATCTGTATGTTAGGGTCAGTATTTATCCCACCACCATGAGGAAGGGACTAAATGAGAGTTGTTTTCATGGGAGTATTGACAAAAGAAGGGTGCCATCCACCTGGACAAGAATGTAGGAAGAACCTTCTTTGGATAGACAACTCCAAGGTTGAACGTGCTGAACACAATGAGAAACGTTTTTGTGTGGTAAAAACCAAACATCGCGTTGCAACAGAAGGACCACACCCCAGCTGTCAAGCATTGAGGTGGGAGTGTCACGGTTGGGGGCTCCTTTACTGTCTCAGGTCCCGGGCAGCTTTCTTCATTGAAAGGCATGAACTTAGTGCTTTATCAGCACATTCAGGAGAGAAATGGCCATCCTTTCATGAGCATAAGCCGCACCGAAAAAACAGTCACACTGTAAGACACTGACCCTAAACATATAAGTACTGTACATCTCCATCTCCAGAATGGCTTGCCAGGATAGACTCTGGCCTCTGTGTGACTCTACATTGGATGAAGAGGGTTGGGAAATGACTGGATACAACAGAATGCCTGTAGAAGAATTTGGCAGTTTGGTTTGACCATGTCCAAATCTGTATCTAAGATATGGGAGAACCTGAAGTGTCAGGGAGACCTTCAAATGTCACTGACGCGACGCAGTTCTGTAAGGAAATATTGGCCATAATTCCAAAAACAAGTGATAAACAGTTACAGGGAATGCATCAGGAGAACAAAAGAGCTCCTCTTGCCAGATACACTGTGGTCAAGTCCATCTTTAAAGTAGATTCAACAGTACATGATTTCTTTAGGAACCGGGCAGATGAAGAGAGGGTATTAGATGAACTGTATTTTCAGTTTTGGCTTGAATGGTCAATGGCACACAGCTTATACCACCTTTTCTGGGCAGCTGAGTTCCAATGTTCTATCCATTTCATCCTGCATTTCTGGAAAATATTGAGCCTTAAACACAGATATGCTTTGCCGTCACTTGTTCACAGGTGGGGTAGATAACAGGTGT